TCCCTACACTCGTCAAAGCAGAAGGGAAGACTGCAGAAAAGCAGCTTGGTTTGGGGGCTTCTTCCTATTAATACAGCTTTGTAGCTGGTCAGCATGAGGGGTTCAGGTAAGGATAAGAAAGGAAGAGGGCTGGTCAGCTCTGACTTCCTCTGAACCAGAGCTCCACGCTGGCAAGGTCGTATCTAGTGTGTGACCTCTCTGCAAATATTGGTGGGGTGGAATTACCAGGAGAGAAGGAAGCGTCTCCAGCAGGACCTTGCCGGGAGGCCCTGGAATGATTGCTGCAGGAGCTGCCTGTACCCCGGGTTTAGTGCCTTTTGGAATGCTTTTCCACCCTTTGTGGGTTAAAAAAAGGCAAAACTCCCCCCAAAAAGGGACTTTTTTTTTTTTTTTTTGGTAAAGAGCAGTGTCAAGGGAACAAACGAGTGCAGAATCGTGTCAACTGCTTTTGTCCATTGGAGTGTGCTCCACTCCTGTGCTATAGGAATTCTCAAATGTGAATGCAGTTACAGACTTGGGAGTTTTATCTTGCACAGACGCAGACAGCAGTGACTTTTGTCCTCCTTCAACCCCTCAGAAGCCTGTTGGAGGGAATAACTCTGGTTCCTTTGCTTTTGAGAGCTGTTATATTTGGGGTCATGTAATTTTGTGCTAAAACCCCTTTAAAACAAGCCCTCATCAGCTCTGAACTCATGGTGGAATCAAAAGACCTGCAGAGGTTTGTTGCTGTTGAGTCATTCCTCAAAATCAGCCTGTCGGTTGGGAAATCTGCTCTTCCTGGATTACAGAATCAATTGTGGAGCAATTTCAGGAGCAGAAAGAATAAGGCAGTGTATTCATCTCTAGTGGATAACTGTGTAACTAATAGCGTGTAGGGGTTTGGTTCTGAAGGAATGCCACTGAACTCACCACGGACACGTCCTGAGGCTTTGAGAAGGGTCAGAGCGGGCAACAGAGCAATTGTGCTCATGGGCTACCTGTGTGGCATGTTTCTTTGGCTTCCTTGGCACTGGGAAGGGGGAAAACTCCTGTGTCCTACAGAAACAGACCCCGGAAATCTTCTCTTAAGCACTGGTTATACAGAATTGGTTTGCTCCTGCATTTCCCCTCTCATTAAATAATCCTGTTCTGACCAAAGGGGGTGGGAACACTTTGGGAGTCTGACGCAGATCAGAAAACACACACTTTGCCACCACTCAAACCACCAGTACTGAAGAAGCTATATCCATCCAGTGCATGTCCTGGCTGAGGACTGACCCCGACTCACTGTAGTGAGTGAAATGCATATTTTCATGGCTTTTGATGTCTTGGTTAGGGCTAAAGTGCAATTTCTTCCTGTTGGCTCCAAGTCTCTTCCTCTTTCTGCACCCAGCTGTGCTGCACGCCCGCTGCTACTCCCATGGGTCACAAGAATCAGATGAAGAGTTTGATGCTCGCTGGGTGACGTATTTCAACAAGCCAGATATTGATGCCTGGGAGCTCAGGAAAGGTGAGTTGAGTGAAAAGGGGAGAGTAGCCCTGGAGTAAATAGAACAGTTCATTGACCAGGAATAACAACTGGATTTGACTTCGCTGCTGGAGAGCAGGAAGAAGGAAAACTGGGAGTTAGATGTAGGAGAGCAATCCTGTGAATACCCTGCTGGGACAAGGCACTACGTGAGCCTGAGTTATGCGGCTGCTCCGTGCTCGTGCTGTTTGCTCTGAGCCTGTTGTAGCAGGCACTGGCACCTCACCAGCGACACGAGCAGGTTGCAAGGATGCAGAATGAAGGGTATGAGATGGTGGGAATTGGGCTTTATAAGCCTTAGTGCCCCAGAACACACGTTTCAGCACCTGGGTGGGTGCTCTGAGGATCGTGCATCTGAGCTCAGCTGTTGCCTAGAGCATAACCACACACGTTTGAATTTGGACTTTGACCTAATGGCTTGGCTGTAACTCATGTAGACTGATGTCTCCCATTGTTATTTGCGAGCTCCTATTAAACTACCCCAATTAGGGCTTAAAAATGTGTTTGCATAACAGCCAGAGGGATCATTCCAGCATCACCTGGATGAGGTATGGGCTGTCTTCCCTCAAAGGGAAGAGCCAGCAGCTTGAGTTCTAGTTTTCATTACACCTGTAGGAATGAAGTCATTTGGCATTCCTTAATGATCCCATAAGTGCTACAGTGCAGACACTGATTCCTCCGGGGAACGTGGATGAAACTGGCTCACTGGGATTTCATGAAACCCCCTTAAAATCTGCAGTAGTAGAGTAGGGAGAAGAGCAAGAGAAGACCCTGTTGGCTGTTTGTGTGTCCCCAGAATAGCAGTGAAAACTCTAATCAGCTTCTAATGGCAACCGGCGTGGTGGTGAGACTTAATTCCTTCCCGAGGTGCAGCACAGTGATGCTCGGTGGGTTCCTGCTGGTAGCACCATGAGCTGATGCCAAGTCCCTCTTGGTGTTTCACAGGCATAAACACGCTTGTGGGGTATGACCTGGTTCCGGAACCAAAGATCATCGACGCAGCTCTGAGGGCATGCAGACGGTTAAACGACTTTGCCACCGCTGTCCGCATCTTAGAAGTTGTAAAGGTGAGTGGAATGGCAGCTCGGGGCTCCCCGCCGTGCCCTCACTGCCCAGAGCACTGTGTTTGCCTTAGTTTGCTGTCAGTGGTGCCAAGGGAAAGCACCAGTTCCCACTGGCAGAGTCCATAGCTTGGATGTGAGCGTGTGCTCGGTGCCTTCAAATGAGTTTTGAGAGCTCTCAGCAGCACAGCTTCGGGTAGAACGGTCTTAGGTTCGTATTTTACTTTCCTGTCACTGACTCTGGTGGGAAAGTCTAAGGATTTTTCTTCCTTTTAGTTTTAAAATAAGCATTACTAGAAATCCCTCAAGCAGAGGCAGCTTACCAGCTTCCTAAAGGGCTGAACACTGAGCTGCACAGGCTTGAAACCCAACAGAAACCAGCACCTTGAAACCTGAGTCCAGCCTGCACTTAGCAGGGAGTTAAAGAGGGTGGGCATGGAGGCAGGAGTCCTGTTTCAGTCCTGGAAGCCAGCAGCTCTGCTCTTCCAACTGCCTTTTTTGTCCCAGGGACTGAAATACACTTGCTTCAGACTGTACTCCACAGTCAGTTGCCTCTGTATTTGCTGTTCCTGCTCTCTGCGTTCTTCTGTAGAACTAAAACTCTCTCAGGGTTTTTAGAGGCTGATGGAAGAATCGCGTGTTTTCCTTATCTCTCTTTTTGCATCCTTTGTCCCCACCACCCAGAGGACAACTCAGGTGGATCAGAATGTGGGGACAGTAATATGCTCTTACTCGAGGGGTGCTGGTTTTCCCCTGCTTTCCAAGCAAGTTGTGTTCTTTCTCCCAGGCAGAGCTGGGCCCTGCTCTCCTGCCCTGCAGGAGGTACAAACACACATCTGGATTGCAAACCTGACCGCTGCACAACAGCTTGCTGTGGAAATAACACCATTCCTTTTCCCTTAGGACAAGGCAGGACCTCACAAGGAAATCTATCCTTACGTTATCCAGGAGCTTAGACCAACTTTGAGTGAACTGGGAATCTCCACTCCAGAGGAATTGGGTCTGGACAAGGCATAAACATTATTGGTAAGGGATGCTGTTGCTTCCGAGAGTCTTGGCACAGGACTTCTGTACCCCAAAACTCCCCTGGCAAGGACACAGTCCCCTTCCCTGCCTTCACAGGGCTGTGAAGGTCAAGTTTGCAGGGCGATTCTCCAACTACCTCTATAGCTACGGATCTCCTGAACTGAAAGAAGGCTTGGCTTGGGAAGGGATGGGGCGGTTGGCCTCCATACCCAGCAGTGTCTAGGTAGTTGCCAAGACAGTGGGTATTGCAGCGTGTTGACTGCTCACCAGCTTGTGTGCAGAAGTGTTTTTTAGCAAATGGCAGGATCGTTCCCATTGGGAATGCACAAACTTTCATGTCATTGTCACAATTTAGAAAACTGGGAGACCCTGATTATAGCTTATGGTAGAAAATGAGCCTCACTCATGGTGGTCACCCAACAACGCTGGAGTTTCTTCACATTACCCTCAGAATAGCATCTTTTCTGTGATTAAACACTACTTTGGAGGGTTCCTTGCTCACACATCAGCTGGAGCATGGCCAGAGCGTCACTGAATATCCTTTATTTCAGGAATGGTGCCTGATGAAACAGCCCCAAGACTTGGGAAACCACTTAAATTGCTGTCTTTTAGAGCTTCTTAGTACTTATTAAACTTGAGAACAACTACATAAGACATTTAGCTCCCCAGGCTCTTAGATGAGCTCACATGAGACCCTGGGGACACTTGGTGGAGGTCCAGGGCTGCTGCTTTAATGGCTTCTGTGTTGTTTTCTGTTGCAGGTGCGTTACTTGAGCCATTTCACTGGTGCCACCTGATTGTACACAGCTGCCTGGAGGCACGAATGCTAAAATCTGACCTTATTTCAAATAACTTCTTCCTTTATTGAGTCACAATGTACGTGATGTGGAGTTGGACCTAATAAAGGAAAACCTGGTTTGACTGATGTAGTGGTGGCGATCGTGTGATTGTTCTGGGGGGCTTTTATGGGGAAAAGGAGGAAATAAAGGGCAAAATGTTCTCCCATGAGTGCGTGTAGAGTGTCCCAGTCGTTATTTGCTTGCAGTGTCCATAGCACTTCCACCATGGGCATGGGAAGAGGCCTCTGTGGAGGGCGCCGTGACCCCCCTTTACCCACAGCTTTATGGAGGAGGAGAACAAGGACTCCTAGAGCCTCCCCTGCCCTTGGAGGAGCCGTTTCCCTGTGGGAAGCTCTTGGCGGGGTGGGAGACTCCTGTTCGGGCTCCTCTGCTGTCTCCCGGGTGCCTGCAGGGCCGGGAATCGCTCCCAGGGTGGATATTGCTTTGAAGAGCCCGTTTCCCACCGCGGTTCTGGCGCAGGCGGCGGGGGTGGGACAGAAAAAGGCGGAAAAGGGAATTTTGTGGGGTTTTTCGCACCAACAAAGGGATTTTCGCAGGAAAACGGGGATTCATGCGGGAAGCGCGTCCCGCTCCCCGGTGCCGTATC